GGGCAAGAGTAAGGCTACAGAGAGGGAAGGAAGGATTGCAAGGATGGAATCAGAACTCCTTGTCCTTCAGACCCGCCCCCCAACATACACACACTCTGCAGAGGCTGTGCAGGGTGCATGAGACCCACGTGAGGTCCCAGCCCTGAGAACCTAGTAGGGGAAACAATGACCACAAAGTGTGGCCAGGCCCGTGAGAGAGGAAGGCCTCTGACCCAGCCTGTGGGTCAGTAGATCAGGGAAGGCTTCTTGGAGAATTCCAAACTCATCATTGAAGTATAAGTATGGCCTACTAGGTAAAGAAAGGAGTTGAGAGTATATGTTCCCAACTGGGCATGGTCAGCTCTCTTCCCTCCTTTATCTAGCACAAGAGAGAGCTGTACCCCATTTATGATGACAGGACTTAGGTCAGAAATAGGACTTTCTCTGCATCTAGCCCATGGTGGAACTGGACTACTAGGACAAAATGTCTCCTTTCAGGCCCCTCACACCCCAATATAGCATTTAAATAAATAGGAAGTTTGGATGCCCAGCACAGCCATGAAGCTCAAGCACCAGGTCAGGCGGGCACAAGGTCACAGCTGGCAGAGTGTCCACCCTGCACTGCTTGGCTGAACGTACACAGAACAGACACCCTGGTCATCCAAGCACAGACTCTGCCCCTTCCCAACGGTGCTACCTTGGGTAACCCACCTCCTTCTCTGATTCTCAACTTTCTTACCTGTAAAATAAAGCTAATAACCTCTGTTTCCAGATTTCTGTGAAGATTAAATGAGCTAATTTAGGTATGTTCCTGGAATGTAGCAGAAGCTCAGTAAGAGCTCATTACCCTGCCCTTGGAAAGGGACCTTCAGAAAGTCCAGAGCAGAGACTGTCTCATTCACTCTTGGTGCAGTGCCTGCCACATAGTAATTACTCAGTAAATATTTGCTGAATGACAAATGAGCAAATAAATGAGTCTAGTCCAACTTCCAAAGAGTGCATAAATCCTCAAAGAGACTCATGTTTGAATCCTGGCCCTGCTGCTTCCTAGCTGGTGGCCTTGGGCAAGTTACCCCGGCCAAAGTTCAGTTTCCTGCAGACATATGATTGCAGTCTCCTGGAGGAGCTATTTTGGGGTATCAGTAAGGTATGGCTGTGTACACTACCAAGTCTTGTGCATGGGGAGTCCTTGCTACCAGCCCTGGGCCTGCTCAGGTACTCTCAGGGTGACCCAGACCTGCCTGGGACTGCTTCAGTCCGAGCTGGAGCCTCTTGACTGTAACACTCATGGAGGAGTGACCACAGGATATAGGCCAAGGTCCACTGGGATGGGAATCCTGGCTGCCAGACATACCAGAGCAGGCCAGGGTGAGTCAGCTGTGCAGCAAGGCAGCCTGCCCTAGTTAGCACACAGCCTCCCCATCACAGCAACTCACACTTTCTCTCTTGTAGGTGCTGCTGTAACCCCCCTCCTACCCCCATTATACAGAAGAGGAAACTAAGGCTCACACAGGGAGAGTAATTTGCCCTGGTCACATCTAGTGAGGTGTGGGATCACACAGTGGATATGGAACTCATAACTGGGTTTGAGAGTTCCCTGGCTGCAAGAGTTTCTAAGTCATTCAGATTCTGGAGCCATCTGTCAACTGAGTCAAGTCAAGCTTCTCGGCCAGGATTCAGGCTTCTGTGATGGGCCTGTTGCCACTGCCTTCAGTCCTCACCCCCTGTCATCTCCTTCCCGTGCTCCGTAAGCTTCAACCATGTGGGGCTGCTCTGTCCCTAGGCATACCCTGCACTGCGAACCTCTAGCCTCTTCGTGTGCTTTCCTGCTGCTGATACACACCTCCCCATCCAACTCCTACTCATCTTCCTAGAGTGAGATCAGAAGCCATGATAAAAAGCAAACAAACAAAAACAGAAAAAATAACAAGTGTTGGTGAGGCTGTAGGGAAATTGGAACATTTGTGCATTATTGGCGTGCATGTAAAATGGTGCAGCTCCTGCAGAAAACAGTAGCAGCTCTTCAAAAAATTAAACAGAGAATTACCATATGACCAAGCAATTTCACTTTTGGGTATATACCCAAAAGAATTGAAAGCAGAGTCTCAAATAGATATAGGGTATCCCCCAAAAATGTACACACTCTTTGAATAATTATTAATTCCAATGGGTTAAATCTGAAAAGAAAGAAACATCAACTGAGACAGAAGCTACCCTCTTGGGGTGAATGGATGAATAGATAAACAAAATGTGTAAAATATATACAATGAAATATTCAGCCTTAAAAAGGAAGGAAATTCTGACACATGCTACAACATGGATGAGCATCGACAGCATTATTCTAAGTGAAATAAGCCAGACACAAAAGGGCAAATATTATATTAGTCTACTTATATAAGGTTGCTAAAGTAGTCAAGTTACTTGAGACAGCAGTAGGATGGTGGTTACCAGGGGCTAGGGAAGGGGGGAATGGGAGTTATTGTTTAATGGGAACAGTTTCAGTTTGAGAAGAAGAAGAAGTTCTGGAGATGGATGGTGGTGATGGTGCACAACAATGTGAATGTGCTTAATGCCACTGAAGTTACACTTAAAAGTGGTTAAAAAGGTAAATTTTATGTTAAGTATATGTTACCCCAATTACAAATTTTTTTAAAGCCAAACACTCTGGAGTCCATTCCTGGTCCTTCCAAACAGGTCAGAGCCACATTCCAGCTCCTAATCACCAGAAATTTATAGTAACTGTTTTTTATTAAAATTTATTAAATTTCGTACTTTACAATCACAGGTGAAAAATAGCACCAGAATGCTGTTTTAATTTAGTCCTTTATTGTTCAAGTCAAATATTTTCCCCCAAGTTTACTAATTGGCTCTATTTCTGCTTTTGAAAATGCTCTGTTTTTCAAAAAGTTGAAGCAACAGGGTCTCGGGAGCCAGGCCCAGTGAAAAGAGGGTCAGGAGGGACTCCAAGTTCAGACTTGATACAAAGGCCTAGCACTAGAGACAAACAGCCCTGCAGCAGGGAGCACAGCTCAGTCTTCTAGAACAGGGTGGGGAATGTCCTGCCTGGGGGCCTATATAGCCGGCAAAATCATTTGATCTGGCCCTGCCAAGGCAACTGCAGGCAGGCAGGACTTGAAATTCGATAAATCTAGGAGCTTTTTTCATAGCGAATTTTTAAGTTGATAATTTTGTATGGCCCGAGAATGATGTTATAAATATCCTAATGGCCCTTGGCTGGAAAAAATTTCCCCACCCCTGTTAGAGAGGGAAAAACCCACCTTTCAAGGCCACAGGTGGAGTGCAGGGTGGGCTGGGAACCAAGGGTACTAAGTGGAAGCTGACTTATCCAGAGTGCCACCAGGTTTACTCATGATATCTACCCTGCCCCTGGGTGAGAGGATGTCGCCCTCATGTCAGATGAGGAAAGTCTGAAGTGTGAGATGATGAAGGTCACATATTGACGATGGAGAACCAGCATTAGAACCAGCACATGGAGCCCCTTAGTCTTTCTAATGGGGCCAACTGCAGGGCAGAGAGGAGGCAGAAAACTCCTAAGTGGAGAAGCCTGGTAAATAAGGCCAAAGGGAGAGCGGGAGAGAGGTGGCAGGCTCTGTTCAGAGGAAGGAGAGCACTGAGGAACCGTGGCCAGGATGGGACAGTTGCAGGAGTGTGAGTGGCTAATGCAGGGACTGGAAGGGCCAGTCCTGGCTCTCCTGGTCAGCGAGCGAGCTCAGGGAGGGTGGCGCAGTGCCCACCGAGGACAAGCCTGGCTGGGTTCCAGGCCAGGTCGAGCACATCTAAGTTCTGTGACCTCGGCAAGTCCTTTTCCTCCTGAGCCTCAGTTTCTTCAGCAGAGAGAGCGAAAACACGCCCCTGCCGGGCACCGGGCTGTGCACGCCCCTCTTTTGGCAATGCACCTGTTTGTCTGGTACGCCTGGTTGTGCAGCGCAGGTGTCTAGGAGCCGCTGAGCAGGGAAAGCGGAAACACCCACAGGGACCCACCCACCCGCGGGAGGCGCCCAGGCCCCGGAGGTGGCCGCGCCCGGGTCTCAGCGCGGACCTTCCCCTCCCGCGCCCGGCTCGCTCGGGGCCCATCCACTGCCCT